TAACTTAATGCACTATGGGCTAACTTGGATGGCTAGAAGAGTGAGCCCACTTAATGCACTATGGGCTAACTTGGATGGCTAGAAGAGTGAGCCCACTTAATGCACTATGGGCTAACTTGGATGGCTAGAAGAGTGAGCCCACTTAATGCACTATGGGCTAACTTGGATGGCTAGATGAGTGAGCCACTTAATGCACTATGGGCTAACTTGGATGGCTACAGGAGTGAGCCCACTTAATGCACTATCAGCTAACTTGGATGGCTAGAAGTACTAGCCCACTTAATGCACTATGGGCTAACTTGAATGGCTAGAAGAGTGAGCCCACTTAATGCACTATCAGCTAACTTGGATGGCTAGAAGTACTAGCCCACTTAATGCACTATGAGCTAACTTGGATGGCTAGAAGTGTGAGTCCACTTAATGCACTATGGGCTAACTTAGATGGCTAGAAGAGCGAGCTCACTTAATGCACTATGGGCTAACTTGGATGGCTAGAAGAGTGAGCCCACTTAATGCACTATGGGTAACTTGAGTGGCTAGTGGAGTGAGCCCCACTTAATGCACTATGGGCTAACTTGGAAGGCTATAAGAGTGAGCTCACTTAATGCACTGTGGGCTAACTTGGATGGCTAGAAGTGCTAGCTCACTTTGATGGCTAGAAGAATGTGCCCACTTAATGCACTATGGGCTCACTTGGATGGCTAAAGGAGCTAGCTCACTTAATGCACTATGGGCTAACTTTGTAACTTTATTGGTAACAAACTTAACAACTGGGCTAAAAAACCAATGAAAGACTTGCGCCACAAAGTTACACAAATGCTAAATTCCTCTTTGATTGCCATGGTGACAGATTGGCTATTACAAAACTTGCAATCATCAGTTGTGGTTTTTGGATATACATGTAGTTTGATGTTGATATATGAAATTCTTTTTTATATAGTAGATCAAGTAGATCTGGATTGGTTAGGTGCATTAGACTAGATCAATGTACTTATATTGGTACAACAAGCGGCTATGTGAATGACACTCAGTGGATTATATTGATCGTACTATTAATAAAGTGTTCTTCAATAATGAGGTACGCTGACCCACCCTTAAGGTGGGTCGCAGCTAGCATGTTTTTGAGACAGAAATTTTCGTTGTGATTGGCCGTTCTACGCTATGAAAAATAAAAAAAAACTTGGGGCTTAGAATTGCAATGAATTATTAACTACATTTGTATATATTTTGCCCATTTTCCAATCCAAAATGATCACAAAGTGGAATTTAATGCTTTGGGGAATCGCAAAGTCATTGTTTCCACGGAAATGTATTAGTGGGTATCCACAATTTTTATTTATTTTTAATATTTATTATATGAAATGTTTTCACTCAGCAAAATATCAAGAATTTGTAAATGCTTTTACAATTTTCACGCTTTCTATAAACAATATGTGAAAATAAGAGGGAAAACAGAGACGCATGATTTAACGCTATGAGAGATCACAAAGTCATTGTTTCCATGGAAATGTGTTTGGGTATGCACAATTTTTATTTATTTAAACTATTCATTTGCATTTCTAATATAAACTAGTTTTTAATATTCATTTATTTGTTATTTCAAGAATATTTTTCATTTGTTCATTTATGTTATTTTGTTGTTAACAGGTTGTGATATGAACGTGCATAAAAGATGCCGAAAGCAGACCCCGAATATGTGTGGTTGTGATCACACAGAGCGCAGAGGTAGAATATCTTTGAAAGCCTATTTTACAAATAATAAACTGATAGTGGAAGGTAAGTTGAATAATTGATGTTCTACTTTGCATAGAAATACATTCTAAATTCACATAGGAGGCCTTACAAATTTGACTCCATATACTTTGTGTGTGACATAAGCTCCATGGTGCTGAATGTGTTAAATTTCACGCTGTGTTTGTGTCACTTTAACGTTGTTTAATGTCATTATAGTATACTGTAAAGGGTTAATTATTCACTGGGTTTTAATTTTGCTTATTTCGCTGACTGGAAAATGTGCTAAATTAAAACCCAGTGAATATGTAAAATTTAGCATAGAACACATTATCTAAATGATAAACCTGTGAATTTAAAACCCACTGAATATGCCTGAAACAATAAATCAGCGCAATTTAAACCCAGTGAAAATTAGTCATTTTACAGTTACTGTAGTATACGTGTACATGTTTATCATTATTTGTCTCTGAAATTTGAAAAACATTAACTGTTCATTTAACCTAGTTGTGCACAATATTATTGCAGAAATAATGGCCGACTATGATAAATTAATCTTTGAGTGTAACCAGGATGACTCATTGATGAGAAAAAATGCGTAAAGGATTATTAATTGTCATTTTTATTCATGCTAATTAATAACTTTTTAAAAATAACTGTTACCAATTAAAATATGGTGTATGCATCAGCAGTTTATGTATTGGTATCAATTATTCCACGAATTCTGTGAGGTTATTGTGAGTTCACTATTAGAAACTCAAGGGGGTAGCGAAATAAAAAAAAAAGCAGGAATCAGGAAGTTAATAATGCACACCTAAATTTTGAAGATAATATATTTCATATAGTGGAAAAAAATTACAGGAAATTCATCATGGAAACAAAAAAGATATCACAAAACAAAACAAAAACATATTTTACATATTTTTTTCTGCCATTGCCCCACCTTGAGTTTCTAATGGTCCACCCCTAAGTTGAATACAGCGCCCTCAATGCATTTGACTTGCTCATGGTGGTGACACTTTTCTCAATGAGTTTTAAGATACAGATAATTCGTAGTTTCACACATTTTCTGTTTATTGTAGTTGGTAAAAATAAAAAAACAACTACAACAATTTTCAAATTGCCATGGACGTCACAAAATGATCAACAAAATTTTGTGTGATTAAATACTGTAATTCCAACACACTGTTGGATGTACATGTACATGGGTCCCACGTGACATAGCAGAACATGAAACCCGTCCACGCGATCCGCGCCACACATGTTCTCTGCACGTAATAAGCTTGGTTATTAAGCATCCTTTTTTGGGGATGCCCGGTGGCCGAGGGGAAGACGTGTAGTGGCATGAAGCTAGGCGATTAGGTGCCGTACGCGAGCGCCGGTTCGAGTCACGCACGCAGTACGTGTTTACTATAATTAGACGTAGTATTTACCTTGCCGTTTATTCGGTGTTATTTGCTTACTTTGATTATCCATGGATATGGATATATATCAACAAATCATATACTCGTTTGACGATCAGATACAAGATGACTGAATGACAATCAAGCATCAGCTTCTGGATTCATATCTCTGACATGTTTGTGCTCAAACTATATTACTATAAACAAAAGTATATATCTTAAATTTGATAACCAACAGGGACTGTGCCATGCATGGATTTTTCTCGATATCCCGATAATATGGACTCAAAATAATGAAAGCATGAAGACGAAATATATTTTTAATTCGGCTCGTATCTCGTTAAAGCTAAATCTTGCATAACTTAACAGCAACTAATTTGTTTTGTTTCATTTATGATACAATGTATGTTACGAAGTTTATGTCTTGGCTAGATTTATTATCATCTTAGTTTTAATCAGTAGAGTTAATTTTAACATTTACAAAAATATGCAGGGTCACAAGTAAAAAAGTTATCATCGATAATTCAATCTTATGTAGAAGTAAATGGAAAAGGAAAAGGGCATGTGAGTATTAATCAGACCTAGCAGCAAACTTAAGATTTAGTATTAGATTGCGTATTACATATTCAAGATATCACAGAGCTTACAGCATATTGTGTGTTTTATCACGGGCAACATTTTGTATAAGGGCTATTAATAGCTCCTTGCCATGTCTGCAGAAAGCTGTTGCCTCATTTTATTATGATGTCTATGCATCAACACATGTCGTCTCTAAGACTAATTCAGATTCAGTATTATTCTATCACTGTCATATTATATGCATACTAATGAGGTAATTTGCATATTACAAAATGTAATTAGTGGATTTCAATAATTTCTGTGTTATTGTCTTCAAACCTCCATCTGAAAAAAAGCTAATTCAGATTCAATATTACCGGTATTCTATCACTGCCATATTATATGCATACTAATGAAGTAATTTGCATATTACAAAATGTAATTAGTGGATTTCAATAATTTCTGTGTTATTGTCTTCAAACCTTCATTTGAAAAAAAACCTAATTCAGATTCAGTATTATTCTATCACTGTCATATTATATGCATATTAATGAGGTAATTTGCATATTGCAAAATGTAATTAGTGGATTTCAATAATTTCTGTGTTATTGTCTTCAAACCTCTATCTGATAAAAACCTAATTCAGATTCAATATTACCGGTATTCTATCACTGTCATATTCTATGCATAACTAATGAGGTAATTTGCATATTAATCAGTAGATTTCAATAATTTCTGTGTTGTCTTCAAACCTCCATCTGAAAAAAAACCTAATTCAGATTCAATATTACCGGTATTCTATCACTCATATTCCATGCAAACTAATGAGGTAATTTGCATATTAATCAGTAGATTTCAATAATTTCTGTGTTATTGTCTTCAAACCTCCATCTGATAAAAACCTAATTCAGATTCAATATTACCGGTATTCTATCACTCATATTCCATGCAAACTAATGAGGTAATTTGCATATTAATCAGTAGATTTCAATAATTTCTGTGTTATTGTCTTCAAACCTCCATCTGATAAAAACCTAATTCAGATTCAATATTACCTGTATTCTATCACTGTCATATTCCATGCAAACTAATGAGGTAATTTGCATATTAATCAGTGGATTTCAATAATTTCTGTGTTATTGTTTTCAAACCTCCATCTGATAAAAACCTAATTCAGATTCAATATTACCGGTATTCTATCACTGTCATATTCTGTGCATAACTAATGAGGTAATTTGCATATTAATCAGCAGATTTCAATAATTTCTGTGTTGTTTTCAAACCTCCATCTGAAAAAAACCTAATTCAAATTTAATATTACCGGTATTCTATCACTGTCATATTCTATGCATACTAATGAGGTAATTTGCATATTAATCAGTGGATTTCAATAATTTCTGTGTTATTGTCTTCAAACCTCCATCTGATAAAACCTAATTCAGATTCTATATTACCGGTATTCTATCACTGTCATATTCTATGCATACTAATGAGGTAATTTGCATATTAATCAGTGGATTTCAATAATTTCTGTGTTATTGTCTTCAAACCTCCATCTGATAAAAACCTAGTTCAGATTCAATATTACCAGTATTCTATCACTGTCATATTCTATGCATAACTAATGAGGTAATTTGCATATTAATCAGTGGATTTCAATAATTTCTGTATTATTGTCTCTAAACCTTCCATCTGAAAAAACAAAACAAATTCAGGCTGGGTATTATTCCATTACTGCCATATTCTATGCATCCTAATATATTGAATTTTACATGTAATATGTAATCTAATGTTTTTTCTGTCAGTAAAAGTGAAAACAAAAGCCTTTTGAGTGACCAATGCATTTTCCCCTACAAAGAAGTCTATCTTGATTTACCCACCTACACATACAAGTGGTTGAGAAGTTGTACTCCTGGTAACATTTTAGAATTTTAGAAAATTTGGATTTGAACACACCACCTACTGAAAGCCAAATAAGCACGAAAAATGGCGTCAGCCGGAAATATATTATGATGGATACCTTGAGTATGTTTGAATAATTTTGTTTGAAAATGCATTCTGATTATATTCATATGATCTGATTTATTATTGATTATCGTTGTAAAAGTTCAGTGAGTTCTTGATTCATGACTGAAATACCTCTATCACTAATGTACATGACAATGTAAGTCATTTCTCTACAACTGATAGTACTATAGATTAGTTTAACAGGCGTAAGGCATCGTGTTTGACATGGGTCCCATGTGACGTCTACAACGTGTATAAAATGCTTTTGTTTGTTTACATCAAATTTGAACTGTGCAGCTGTATATTTGCTTCTGATTAATTATTGTTACAACTCCTCTTTCATCTTCATTTCAGTTCGCGATGCAAGAAACTTAATCCCAATGGATCCGAATGGGTTGTCAGATCCGTACGTCAAACTTAAGTTAATTCCTGATCCTGATAATAAAAGCAAAAAGAAGACTAAGACATTGAAGGGAACACTCAATCCAGCCTGGAATGAAACCTTTACATTGTAAGTTGTTATTTCTCACTTTGTTGGATCAACACAACAAATCCGCTCCCATCATTTTAGAAATATTTAATTTTGCCATTCAAAATGAAATGAAAGGTTTCTATTGGTCACTGCGCTTGTTGGCAGGTTCAATTCAACTGCCATTAAAATGTATATATGACAAATAAATTGTGTGCAAAAATTTCTCAAAGATGAATCAATCAACTTGATAACAATACATATTCTCGAAGGCAGAGCATTCTAAGTTGTTATGTACCATTATTGCATGTATTTGTATGGGCTCTGTGTGAACTGCTGTGGAAGGCCAGTCAAAGAACTCAACTATGACACAATCCTTACAACCAAATTTATATATGTTGCACACATAGCTTGTTATACTGTTTAGAAAAGTCTTGACAACTAGCTCAAAGTACTGTTTTGAAAATTTTCAATCATTGTTTTCACCAATGGTTGCCAGGCGAAGAAAATGCCTTGATGTTTTCTCCCGGTGTAGGTGCTTGTTTATTTTTTTCTCTGATCAAACTCAGTAAGGCTGAATAGTAACCATTTTGTTAATCCCCACTCGGATTCGGTCTTAAAAATTGATTGATGTCAGTGTTGGTCCATGCTTTCACGCACACACACACACATGCATGTGTCGTCACCTAACTTGATACATAGATTGAACTTAATGAGACTTTGAATACAGCCATTTGTTTTAAGAATGTCGTGCCTAGTATGTTTGCATTAAATCTTTCCTACATCAGTCTTCATGTCACTAGACTGACTGGATCTGCTCCAACTGATGTATTACTCGTTTATTTAGGCTGATTGCTGTCACCTCTACAAATACACGCACCAAATGTGCTCTATGATGAGAGAATGTGTCAATTTCAGAGGTCTAAATAAGACATATTCTTCCATGATTCAGTATAGAAATGCATTTTTTTTTAGTTATCAGTTATGCTTCTAATACAGTGTGTATTATGTTGTATGTTTGTACAGCCATTATAGAGGTCTAATATTAACAATCCATACAGTGTTTTCTTTCAGTTTTCTTTACTATCTTAAAACCAGGACTGTTTCATTTGATTTCTTTGGCAGTTAATGACAACTTTCCACTTTTATTAGTCCCTGTAGGATACATATGCATGTCCATTTCATGATCTGCTTCAAGATGACTGAATGGCTTAAAATAGCAATGCAAAAATTCATCAAAATTAGGTCATGCATTGATGGATTTTGTTCAAATTTAGTACATATATTTTGTAAGTGATTCAATATGGGGGGGGTGCCGAGCATCTATTTTAAACAAATACTATTGCCATATCTCTAACATGCCTTGACCACTCACATTTACACATATACACTTAGATATGTAATTCAGATTCAAGATGGCCAATTGCGGTTATTTTAATGTTAAAATTCAACAAAATCAAACAGTTTTGCCACTCTGAACCCAGATCTTGGTTATACATTGACAGCTATTGTCCATCTTTTACATATGATGAGGTCAGTAAACTAAACCAAAAAAACACCAGTGGAAGACAGATTATGCTCCCTTATAATGAACACTGGAACATCATTTCATACCTCATAAGTTATACACAAAAGAAAGAAACGCAATGTGCATTTGGATATTAAAGAAAAACTGTTATATTTATTACAATCAAGCATGAAAACACTATTATAGCCCTCTATGTTTACTTGAGTAACAGTAAATGAACAACAAAAAGAATACTGTAAAATACTTTATTTTTGCTTGAATTAATTTTCACTATTTTCGCTGAAGGAATGATTCAGTGAAAATAAAATCCAGCAAATATACTTTTTTTCCTATATTTTACATTCAACTCATCAAAAATCAGTGAAAATAAATTCCAAAAAAGAAACACCCAAAAAGTCTTTTCAGCAAAAATTAATTTCAGCTAAAATATAGTATTCTACAGTAGTCAGTACACTTATTTTACTTTTTGTGTCATGACATGACTTGTTTTTAGACCCCCTTTGAACGAATTCTGAGAACAGGGACTTATAATTTGGTCTACGTCCGTCTGTTCGTGTATCCGTTATATTTCAGAATCCGTCGGACCTATTCCATTCATCTTTGCATGTGCCTAGTACTTTATGTGGGACATATGCACATGCAGTGGTTTCGTGATTCGATTCAAAATGGCCGACTGGCAGCCATCTTGTTTTTTGAAAATGTTGTATTTTGGACATGCTTTGTCAGTTTTCATTCAAATTTGCTATATAGATTATACATGTTAGGATACTTGTCCATGACATTTCTTTTGCAATTGGATAAAAGATGGCCGACTGGCAGCCATCTTGTTTTTTGAAAATGTTGTATTTTGGACATGCTTTGTCAGTTTTCATTCAAATTTGGCACATACATGTACTTTATACATGTTAGGATACATGTCCATGACAATTTGTTTCAAAATCTAGTCAAGGATGGCCGATTGACAGCCATCTGACTTTTTGGCCTTACTACTATATTTCCACGATTTATGACAAATAAAGTATTCTACAGTATTACTAAAGTGAAATACATAAGTAAATAAAATAAAACAAATAAATAAATTCAAATCTTCAATTAATAAATGTTTATTTACTTTTGTGTAAACCGCTTCAAATTCTTGAAAGACTAAAATAAGTTCAGGAAATTTGTGAAATATTGTTGGAATAATTATTTCACTATGGTGGTTCCTAAAGACAGGAACCCTTAGTAATACTTTAAAATTATGAAATAGGAAACATTTCTAATGGTGCCAATTTATCGGTTTACAATCATGCTACTTAACATAACTGAATGTTTTTTGATCAAGAAAATCGGTTGATCTAGTGTAGAATACATATTCCAAACAATTTGTTAAAGCGGAGGAGACGTCACCTGCGCAAGCGTCAGATGGCCATATCTTGTCATTGTTTACAAACAAGTGTCTACCCATGAGCCTTTGTGTTTTTAGCGTGTGTTGTTATCACCATTTGGGACTCGATTTTCGCGCATGTGCAGGTGACGACCCTCTCGCTTTAAATTTGGCAATAAAAAAGACATTTTTGTTTGTAATACTGGCATTAATTGTGTCAGAAGTTGCAGTGAGTACAAATCAGACTACCCTGTACTGCATTACATTATTAAATAGCCTGAATTTTGCCAACAATTAAATATTTACTGGATGTTCGTGCAGCTTAGGAAAAATAAAGCTTGTAAAGAAGATCATATTGTCATACCTATAACATCTATGTTTTAGTGAATATATACTATTTGGTTTATTTATCACTTTACTATAACAACTCTGGAAAGGGTTGTTTGGGGAAAAAAATCTGCAAAACATGTTGAAATTAAAACCTACAAGAAAAACAACAATACTAATAAAGTATAAAAACATTTGATAGAGGAAAATAAAACAATTATTTTTACGGATTTAAATCATTCTGAGAAAAAAAATCTAGCTAAAAAGTGAGAGTGAAAATAATCACCAAAACATCAAATCCAATTATATTGAAAAACTACATCCCATTTGCAGTTAGCTTTCTGTGAACTATAACAATATTAGTCACTATATACTGTTTGTTCCTTTTGGTAAAAATTTAGAACTATGGGATAACTTAACATTACAAAAAAAGAGAATGGTGTGTTTCTTTTGGTTAACGTTCTTCTTAAATATATAAATGGAAAGTTTCCAGAAAGGTTATAAAAATTGATTATGTATTGGTTAATGACAAAAAAATTATTTTTTCTATTTAAGACTGTTCTAGAAAGCTCATGTATCCCACATAACTCACCATAGACTGTCAGGAACAGAAGCAACATTACATTGCGCCCTCTAGTGACATAAAATACATAACACCAGGTCAAATGGTTGAACATAATTTAAATATTGTGATTGATATTTCGTGTATAATTATCAATATCTAGTATTAAAATTAATTGAGAGATGTTCCCACTGCTTGACATCTTGACAATATTAATGATATACAAATTATATCAGGTGAAGCGTTCTCCACATTGCAATGCATTGATGTATGGAATATTGATTTGTACTGTACTGTGAGTAGTAGGACATGCATAAAACATGTGATGAATATCAGACTACATCACATGTTAAATTGCCGCAATAAATCTGCCTTAAGCTTTGAGAGTGAATTAAAAATAAATATCTATGGAGTGTCTATTACATGCATTTTAGATACTAATAACCGATACAATATGGCAAAGTTCATCCTATTTAAGCAAAAGCATTTTATTTCCCACTACTGTTGGATTTATTGCTATTAAATACCATGATAATTACATTTTTTTTCTTACCTGATTATTTGCTTACTAAAATACCCCCCCCCCCTTCCCTGGCAGATATTATGCCACATTGATTCAAGTTTTCATAATTTTGTGATTTTACAATGCATCATGGGAGAGGAGGATAGTTCTGGTGATCATAGGGAATTTCGGCAGTGAATACTCTTGCCTTTGGTTGGAATTTTATTCTAGTGACAGGTAGTCCACAAGAGTAGACAGTGTTTGGCCAAGAGGGTGGGGATTGGTGAGTTTATTGAACATGACAGAATATGTTGTCACCTGGCAACCATAACCATGCCGATAGCAACAAAATCAATACCTAAAGCTAAATCACTTGGGTAATAGAGCTGGTACAATGGGAACATCTCCCCATTTCATTAATGTATATGGGTGTGCTTCCGAACGTCATATCATGTAATCTTAGCAAACCACTCAGAAACTGACATGTTTTAGAACATTCACATGTACCTAGCAACTGTGATCAGCCACATTTCATTTTTCTTGCTCGTACTTGGTATATTCATCCGTTTTCTTGAATATTTGTCTAGCAACAATCTGTTGGATACAAAATAGCATTTCCACAGAGCTCAACACAGTTGATGGTAAATCTTGTGTAAAAAGGGTTGTTTTTGTCTCCTGATAAATCTGATCATAGCAACTGATTATCTAGATGAAAGCGAGACAGCCACAAAACTTTTTCTCTTCAAATATTGTCTCATTTTTTACCGTCTACTGTCCCAATATGTGAGTGGAGCAGATAATGGTAGGAACTGGAAACATTTTTTGAGGTGTGAGAACAAGTTACTTAAGGTCTATTTGCTGTGCTGGCTGCTTGGTTATGTCTGTTTGGGGGACAATTTGATACTGAATAAGTATCTGGGACTCGTTGTTAAACTTGGTCCCCACGCTAGGTTCAAAATATTTAACTTGAGTTTTTCCTGGAGTATATTTGCCGCAATGGACAGTTCGCGGGTTGACAGAAGCATGATCACAGCGATAACATTAAACTCGAACACTTTAGTATCACAGAATTCCTGAATGAACCAAACACTAACACAATGTAACACAATGTCCAGTAGCACGTACAAAACTATGTAGGTTTACAATGCAAAGTTCCACGAAAAACGTACAGCAGACGGCTCACTGGTAAACAATAACACAACTAGCGAATTCTACTTTTTTGAATAGGGGGGCCTATTGAGAGTAAAAGCCCACGAAGAGTCCTGATTGGTCAAACGGCGATCACTTTTCACATTATGAATAAATGGAACAGTAAAACGAAATAATCGATGTACAATGTAAAGATACAATAAATGATAACGATAGAAATTATATATTATTGATTGCAAATATTCTCAATGTATTATTGATAGTCTCAACGACAATGTCTGAATAAATTTCTATCCCCATTTTTGTCTAACTTTAATGGTTTACTTAATTTGTATTATTTACAGCATTATTGATGAGGAAGATAAAAACAGGCGACTATCAATTGAATCATGGGATTGGGATCGGACTTCGCGAAATGATTTCATGGGAGCATTATCATTCGGTGTGTCTGAACTCATCAAAACCCCCGTAGATGGATGGTTTAAGCTACTCAACCAGGAAGAAGGAGAGTACTATAATGTTCCAATTGCAGATGAACAAAAAGTTAATGTATCCGAGCTGAGAAACAAATTTGAGGTTTGTATCATGGGCTTAACTGCTATCATTAAACACCTGACTTAGAAAATTGAAAAGTTTTTAAAAACCTTGAAAGTATGTGATTGTCCATCATCATCCATTGTTCATTCCTCGGTCCGTTTGTCATCTATCATCCTTGGGATGTTAGGTACCTTGGGTGGATCTCTGTTCATTTCATGATGATATCTTCAATTTTCTATTTTTAGTAAATATTTCAGTCATTTTTGGTAAAAAATGATATTTTCTACTTCTTGAAAACTGTTACTCTAATGGTTTTGATACTTGATATATGTGTACCTTAGATGGACCTCTATTAGATTAGTTCTTCCTGTTATGTTAGGGGAACACTCAAGAACTAAAAGTGAGAAATTTATGTTATTGAATATAAATAGAAGATCATGATGTACTTGTCTTTCAATTTATTTCATTTTGGTGAACATTATGGAATTGACAGTAAGTGCAATATTGAACAGTTAAATATGTGTTGACTTAAATATTCTTTATGTATTGTATTTTGTAGAACCAAGCAAATATGAATACTAAATACGAAGACGGACAACAAAGAACATCGCTGAGTAAAACTGATATAATGAGAGCCAGTGATTTTAATTTCCTCATGGTACTGGGAAAAGGAAGCTTCGGGAAGGTAATAACTCAATCCTACATATAGGCGGTAGTTGCAGACCAGGTGGTATTTCATTAATGTTGGTTATTTATCAGCATTATGTATTACTTTTGCACCTGTTAATGGACTGCTACTATAACATGCGTTTTGTGAGACTGACTTAATTGAAAATAATTGACATGGTGATGATAACTCACTGTTTAATCGATAAATGAGTAATTTATTGCAGAACAGCTAGAAAACTTAGGTTAAATGCTCAAATACTGATGAAAACATGATTTTGAAAAACTTACTTAAACAACAAAATAGTTTAAACCTTCAGTTTAAAAAAGTTGAATCACTAGATTTTAAGTTCTAATACCCCCTCAGAGTACATTGTATCATCACATTATGAATGTTGACCAACTGATACATTGTAGTCAACAAATCCACTTTTTGTACACTGTAATTTATGTAAAACCTAAATATTTATAACTCAAAAAGCAGTTACAAACTATAATAGGCAGATTAATTTATACTTTGAATCATGGCAATGTTAAAAAATGTCAAACAACCACAAATGGTATTGGTTTTCTAATTGCTGCATGTATGAATTGGTGGTAGGTGCCACCAATCAAATCGTCTCGTTTGTTTTTAATTCTGAGTAATATAAAATGACAACAGTTGCCGTAATAAACAAGGTAGCTCTTACACCATCACCTGAGGTTTTCTTAACCCGGAGAAAAAGAACAAACTAAAGTTGGTAGTAGGTCTCCCAGTTTGGCCACTAGAGGGCGCCACTCTGGTTAAAATTTATACCATAAAGCTAGTCTGATTAATTTAGCGAAATAACCTACAACAAATTGGTGGTACTATTTAACAATGAAACTAGCAGTTTTCCATTATTTTTCATTGCCCACTGTAACAGTTGTAGGGCTCTAGATTTTGATTATTCACTTGTGTATAATCTTCTTACAAAAGTTACACCTTGCCAAAGCGCTTCTGTGACGTACTTTGACGGGATGCTATCCTCATTATCGATATTGTTTTGATATTTTGTTGAGCAACAATAAAATATACTATATTTTAGAAAATTTGCTGTATTCTGATTCTGAATAGCAATTTTAAAACCGAATGAACAATATTGCTTATCAAGTGATTTTTGTGCGATAGAAGTATTACGTCACCAGAGAGATTATTGGAAATATTTATTGTACATCCTGTTTCAGGTTATGCTAGCCGAGAGAAAGGGAACTGATGAGCTATATGCTATCAAAGTGCTTAAAAAGGATGTGATAATCCAGGATGATGATGTAGAATGTACAATGGTTGAAAAACGCGTTCTAGCATTGTCCAGTAAACCACCATTTTTAGTGCAGTTGCATTCCTGTTTCCAAACAATGGTAAGTTCATTTTATAACGAGATAGTCTTTTCTCTGGCTTATGATTTATAAATTAAATAGGCCCCATGGATGACCTCTATAGGTTGTACATCCTGGGACGTATATGTCACATATCCTGGGACTAAAGGTCACACATCCTGGTACTTTTGGGGAAAACAAATTCCCATTTTTAATTAGTTTTTAGCTCCGCTGTCGACTTCAAGCAGAGCTTATGTATGTGTGATTGTTGGTCGTCCACGATATCTTTAATTTAGATGAATATTTTTGTCATTTTTGGTAAAAAGTGATATTTTTGACTTCTTGTTAAAAAGCACAAGTCTGATTGCTTTTATATTATATATATAGGCACTACAGGTGGACTCTCTCAGATTTGTTCATTTCGTGATGATATCTTCAATTCTCTAATTTTGATGAATATTTTTGTCATTTTTAGTAAACAGGGATATTTTTGATTCTTGTTAAAAACTGAAAGTTTGATGGCTTTGATATTAAACATATAGGTACCTCAGGGGGACCAATCTCAGATTTGTTCATTTTCTAATTGAAATGTGCATTGCTTACAGCAGGGCTATCTCAGCCGAAGGGCTGCTTGTTTCAAAATACATACAATTGTCATTAAATTTCAGAAGAAGTTTAATATTTAGAAGTTATATATGGCAAGCATCTCTCATATTTGTCGTAAGATTAGAAACGTTAAATAAGCAAACATAAGTGTTAAATCGTGAAAACGATTATTAAATTTCAACTGCAACAATTAATAACATTATACATAAATTCGAAAAAACCAAAAACATAAATCTAGTCACCAGTGGATTTAGAGTATACATCATTTCATTCATATACCACGAGTATCTTTGAGATCAGTGTAACATGCACACAGACAACTTAAAAACTCCCTTGTGTGCTTTTACACATGCGACTCAGACATACATGGATATAGAGAGTATTAGTGTGCATGAATGTACAGTAGAATTACTTTCCATATTTCCACTATCAGAAGCCAAAATCTTGTACTTGCATAAAAATTTGTCATACTTAAATTATTTATGTTTTTATGGATTTATTATCTGTGTTTTGTTTTTTCCCTGCTTTCTTTTTTGTACAATTTTATCAAAATCCAAACAAATATACAATTCAATAGATTATTATTATTACTATACTGTTAGAAATGTTAGAAGTGCAGATTCACCTACTGCGTTGTTGCTGATAGGGGGAAACAATGAAACCAATCATTTTCCAATTTTTACCTAATTATCATAATCTTTGGTCATAATTTATTCAAGAAGCTTTGAACTAAGACTGGAAATGCAGAATTTATTTTAATCTGCATAATAACGAAGTTAACACATGCTTTCAATAATCATTATTAACTAGAATTGATGACTTATATTGTAGTCTGTCGACAGTTGTAAAAAGAGCCATAAAAATGTTGTGCAAAGCATAGTAATAACACTATTTTCTTTATATTATTATGTAAAAACTATAAATACCCACATCATATGTAAATGTATGACTGTCGTGTTACTTTAAGTAAAATTCATACCAAGAGGTAATATTCCAGTACTATAAGGTTATTACAAGGATACCTCAAAGTATGCATGAAGACAACGACAGTACAGCAACAGTATCAACCGACACGCAGCGGAGGTCGATGCGACAGCGTACTGTCTGAGTACATATTTTGAGGTATCTTCGTAATAACCTTGTTATTATACATCTTTTCCTACCAAGGATACATCATGGGGAATGCGGAAATCTAAAAAGTTTAGAACAGAATCAGCGAACTTCTTTGTAGGGAGTCCGGTCAAACCCTGATGGCAGCCATGTTTGTTTTTATTATTAGAGGACGCTTGTGCGTGTAATCATTCCATATTTGGAATTCGTAGTTTCTTATATGGTAGGATGAAAATACCCCGTAAAATACCGCAAAATTACAGCACGCTGTAACTTATGGCGTTACGGTGACAGGTGTATAATAATAGTCATTATTAATCTGACACTTATGAACAATTCTGGCAAAAGTAGTGTCATTTTAATAGCTTGCACATTCATATAAAATCAAAGTTGTTCATTATCTTTTACGATCAATATCACATAGAACTTGCATGGTTGAAAACCAAACACTTACAGAGTAGTGCTTTAGATCATCCATTCTGTCATGATCAATTTAAACAAGAAACCTAACCATAATTCTTTCACTTAAAAAATCATTCAAAAAGAAACATTTTTTTTTTATTCAAATTTGCTTGTCAATTACAAATGTTAATTTCATTCAATTCAAACATACTGATGTATTTTCAAGTTTTTGGCATTTTAGGGGGCAGTGTGTCATCCTGTATCCTCTTTATATCATATTAATGATACATTATTCTTCAATTTAACGTGATTGATGTATGTGTTACCTGAATGTCAAACCATCATACTGGTGTGTGAAAACAATGTCACATGTAATTATAGATACATTTTTGGCAATTTTTCACAAAAAGAAAACATTTTTTAGAAGAAAAGGATTAAATTGATGGAGATAATTAGGTCCCGAAATAAATAGCTATAATTTGAGTTCATTTACCTGTGAATATAAAGACAGCTAGTGAATAATAGTTCACATACTGTACATCGTTTTTATATTACCTTTCCCTTTTTGAATATGAATCCAAAGATATACTGGACATTACTGTTGTTGTGATCATAAACAAAGGTGTTGAGCATTTTTGGTGCATAATAATATCTGCCAAATTTTACAGTCACATATTAGGTAATGTTAGTAGAAGTGGTCATGTCAATCAACAGAATTAAAAGATAGACTGACTAAAAAATTAAAAAATGGCAGAATTTTATTCATTATGATTATTTCCATATAAATTTGTGGGTATATGTGTGTGTGTGTCCTGACCTGTATCTTGGGATTCAACAAATGTGAATGTATTTTTGGGATACTTTCACGCTTAATAATGTGCTATCCACAATTGACGATGATCACTTTTTATAAAGCATGGATATCACAATGCCATGTTCCTCTTTGAAAAAAATTGTATTTCGAAATCAAAAAATTGAATTATAAATCATTTGATGTTTGATTTTGCACATTTTGCGTATTATGCAAGATCTCACACAAATCATGGTTCTTCTAGTAACAGTGCACAAATCACAATTACGGTAATTAGACTTCTACAGTAAAACTTCAATTACCGATATTGTCATATTTTGTGATGGAGTTCGTAAAAAGTTAAAAAAATCAAACCATTTGTTTTTAGTAGCTGCAAAATCTCACACAAATCAACATTTAGACTTCAAGATTAAAACTTCAATTATTGTCTTACAGGATCGCTTATATTTTGTGATGGAGTTTGTAAATGGAGGTGATTTGATGTACCAGATTCAACAAGTTGGAAAATTCAAAGAACCACACGCTGTGTGAGTAAAACTGAAAACTTATAGTGAAACTGTTGTAAGAACTGCACATGTTTTTTATGCTATCTGTACATCACATTCACTATACATAGTTCACAAACATTGCTCGAATCCATTTATTCAATTTGTATATGCACAACTAATTTTTTTAACACTGATCGCTATCAACATGCAAACATTGATGTGTACATGTGCAGTTCTGATGACAGTATACGTTTAAAGCGTGGTGGTCGTCGTGCAGCGTGTGTTCGAATTTCATGTAAATAAACAATGTATTTTACATGCGTTGTATACGTCGCTATGAGTCCCATATCGAACAGGACGCGGCACGACGACTGCCGCCCTTTAAATTATACACCTCCACCTCACCTCACCACTTCCAGGATATTTACCGTCCTTCTGACTCCATAGAATCCATTCTCCTAACAAGGCATACTGAGAGTCAAGTGAGTGTGCCCGATGTACTGTTCAACCACTGGAATAAAAAACACAATCTCACGGATGAATGTCTGACAAACTAACCATGACATGATAAAACTTTATTTTTTTTCTTTCAGATTTTATGCTGCTGAGATCGCTGTTGGTCTTTTTTATCTGCACGGTAAAGGTATTGTGTATCGCGATTTAAAGTTAGACAATGTGATGTTAGACACTGACGGACACATTAAAATTGCCGACTTTGGAATGTGCAAGGAAAACCTCTTTGATGGATCTACCACAAGGACTTTTTGTGGAACTCCAGATTATATTGCACCGGAGGTGAATATTTGTCATTTATTCACCTTGTCTATAAATCCTCCATTTTTTACCTTGCCTGTATGATTATAGAAAGGTATTTGAGGGGAAAATGTCTTGTTGTTGCCCCCAATCATACAATGTTGAAACATTTTTCTTCCACTATCTTTCAAACTTATTTTATTGACCAGTTTGGAGTCTCGGCCAAATTTGATACTGATGTGTTCTATGTATATTTTTCAAGAATTTATGTGAATTTATGATGCTGAGGGTGATTCATTATTGTTATAAATCACCACCATCAGAATTAATCAAATTAGTATTCGTTGAAATGAATTTACTACTAAGGAAATGGAGGTTTACACATTATTATTATTATTATTATCATGTAAAGGTATGAAATCATAAAAACCTCTAATTTTGAATATGATTTATATTTATATTATGTGCTAGTTACTCCAGTTCCAAAGATTTATATGTGTAACATTAACCAAAACTAGTAAATGCATGCATTTTCCGATTGATATCTTTGCATTAACCCTAAGTGCACCATATTTTTTCTCGCCAAAATTTTAATGCTATATTTTGCACATTTATATGTAATTTTATATAATTTTTTTGATTAATTTTGAACTAAATGGACATAATTTCTCATTGGATACAGATCTTGATCAAAGTGTTCATAAAAAATATGGAAAAATTATGCAAATTTATTTTATGAATGGTAACAAAAGTGAACTTTGGTGCTGAAGGAGTTGATGTGTCAGTCACTGAACAGTATTTCACTGAAGTATGTGATTAAATGTAAATATAAATTTATATATTAAGTTCTGTTATTATGAATATTTCTAATTTGTTTCAATAT